CATCTCCAGTTGAATAGGACCAGGCAGGAGGTGATGGGAATAGACCTCTGCCTGAGACCCTGGAGAGCTGTAAAGAGCGGCTGTGGCTCAGTGGCAGAACCTCTGCCTGGCATGCAGGAGGTCCCAGGTTCGATCCCCGGCATCTCCAGTTGAAAAGGACCAAGCAGGAGGTGATGGGAAAGACCTCCACCTGAGACCCTGGAGAGCCCAGATTCAATCGCCGGCATCTCCAGTAAATAGGACCAGGCAGGAGGTGATGGGAAAGACCTCCGCCTGAGACCCTGGAGAGCTGTAAAGAGGGGCTGTGGCTCAGCGGTAGACCCTCTGCTTGGCATGCAGAAGGTCCCAGGTTAAATCCCCGGCATCTCCAGTTCAAAAGGACCAGGTAGGAGGTGATTGGAAAAGACCTCCGCCTGAGACCCTGGAGAGCTGTGAAGAGGGGCCGTAGCTCAGTGGCAGAGCCTCTGCTTGGCATGCAGAAGGTCCCAGGTTCAATCCCCGGCATCTCCAGTTAAAAAGGACCAGGCAGGAGGTGAAGGGAAAGACCTTTCTCTGCCTGAAGCCCTGGTGAGCGGCTGCCAGCCTGAGTAGACAAGACAGACCTTGACGGACCAACCAAGGGTCCGATTCAGTATAAGGCAGCACATGTGCGTGCCTAGTCAGACGCTGCGTCTGAACCTGCAGAGCTCTGCTAATATTCTTAGGACAGCAGCAGACGCTTTTTGAGGGGGGAGGGCACCTGTGATTTCTGGCTAGCCCCTCAGGAGGCGTGAATCCCAAAGGCCACACTCACCCCGAAGTAGTTCTTGGGCACGTAGCCCTCCTGTCCGTAGAGGGATGCCCACCACCAGTCCATCTCCTCCTGGGCGTCCCGTCGTAGCACGGTGACGGGTTCTCCCTCACGGAACGACAGCTCGTCGCTGAACTCGGCGCTGTAGTCCCAGAGGGCGTACACCACCCCGTTGTTCATCAGCCCCATGCTCTGCTCAACATCTGCAAGAAACAGAGGGGGTGCACAACACTTAGAGCGAAGGCCAGATCTGACATAAATCTCACGTTGTTGGGCTGGGCCATGTGTGCCATGAAAGGTAATGCCAGGTACTGGTGATATAAACTTCATAAAGGACACAGGCAAACCCAGTTAATGACAGAACAAATTTTGAGTCCGGGTTTATTCAAGGTACGAGCTTTTGTGTGCAGGCACACTTCTTCAAATACATTGGAATGGAAGGTAACAGTCCAAACCTATAGACAGAGTCTGAACAGCAAACCAGCGTGTAACACGATGAAGATATTTTAAGATATGCGAAGACAAAACTAAATAACAAGCTAACGTTATAAGGTCAGCAGTTGTTGTTGTTTTTAATAATTATTTTTATTAGTTTTTTCTCAAACGTAATAGTCAGTAGTATTAAACTTACAGAACAGCATAAACAGCATACATAGTTTGCAAACCAATATAATACTAGTAGTTTTACTTTGTTGTCAACAAGCTCTATGTAATACCTGTAACCCTAGTGTTTATTTAAATATAAAAATGAGATGATGCAAAGAAGTTATAACTTGTGTCCCCTTAAATTATATCAAAACGATGTCACAACTAGGCATTGCAGTACGATCAAAGAGGTAAAGTTTAGTAGTCTAGTAATTTTAAGTATAAAGAGTTTTGAGGTTGAGAATCCGAAGCTGAGATATATTCCATGAATGGGGTCCATTTCTCCGTATCTAGGAATCAACTTACCTAGGAAACTGTGAGGTCAGCAGTTGTTTTGATTTAGTTAAGGGGGCAAAAACAGTGAGGCAATAAATATGTCAAAATAGGAGCCTTGCGGTTTACTTCCCACAGTTACCTCCCTTACACATTTATCTCCTATTTTGACAACAACTGTCGACCTTATAACCTCAGCTTGTTATTTAGTTTTGTCCTCATGTATCTTAAAACAGCCTCATCACGTCACATGCTAGTTTGCTGTTCAGCCTGTTCAGCCCACCTGGATCTACCAATTAACGAAATTAACGTTTTACTCAAAATACAAACATGCCTGAAACATTAACGCTCTTACGATATAGCCTCAAAGTATCTCCCTGACGCCTGCCCTCCCACTTCTACCGCCCATTACTCATTAGCACGGGGACAGTTTGCAGGGACCTAATGCACAGCCTCTGTCGTCTGGCATTAAAAGTAATGACCTGTTGCTTGTGAGCCGGATGGGCCGCTTCCGGCCTGCGGGCCATATGTTTGACACCGCTGTCGTAGAGAGTTCCCTGCCACCGGCTGTTGTGTCAACGGTCGCAGGCAAACAGAAAGAGACAGAAGCGTTCTTAAACTGCAGAACAAAATTTGATCTGGTGCATCTGAACCACCATTGTTCGTCAGTACCGAATGGACTCCCGTCGGTAGTTAAAAGGCAAAGGTTCCCTTGCTCGAAAGCCAGTCGAGTCCGACTCTAGGGTTGCGGTGCTCGTCTCCGTTTCAAAGCCGAAGAGCCAGCGCTGTCCGAAGACGTTTCCGTGGTCATATGGCCGGCATGACTAAACACCAAGGCGCACGGAACGCTGTTACCTTCCCACCAAAGTGGTACCTATTTAGCTACTTGCAATTTCTTGCTTTCGAACTGCTAGGTTGGCAGGAGCTGGAACCAGAGACAGGCGCTCACTCCGTCATGCGGCACACTCGGGGCTCGAACTGCTGAACTACTGACCTTCCACAGCCTGCAGTTCAGCATCTTAACCACTTGAGCCACCGCAGCTCCCGGTAGTTGCGAGTCCCTAAAAGCCCGGATTGGGCGTCAAAACAGAGGACACAGGTTTTGAACCGTGTCATTTTTGCTATTTTGTGACTGCCGCTTTACGCCAATTTTTAAACTTTCGCTTTGTTTTTGTTTTACATTTTGCATGCAGCTTACCGGACGCCAAGCAAGTAGGCAGGCAAAGGG